AAGTGCAGACATTAAATTTCACCCTTTGGTTTTTGACAATGATAAAGGACATTAACAAAGTGACTTGTCCACCACTCCTGTTTCCTATTGTGCACTTGTATTAACCAAACGTGAGGAAATCTGAAGAGCATTGTAAATATTGTATATATATATATATATATTTCACTTTTCGATATAAAATACCAACCATATCTCTGTAGTTTGTTGTGCTTTTTACTGTTTCCCTAACTCCCAGAGAGCCACAGCCTAGCCTTCTGTTTTCTAGCCCGTACCTACACCAACTCCACCCCTTTGTCCCTTGCATACCCCTTTTTGATATGCTACACAAAACGTGGCGTAGCTAGTCAGGAGGTAGTAAAACGGTAAAAAACGGTAAAAAAAATAAATAATAATAATAATAATAATATTTTTTTTTTTTTACAGTCTCACCAATTCTGTTTCAATATGGACATTTTTGAGTCCCTTGATATTAAAATACCAAATGCAGTTATAGTGCGTGGTACACCAAAATGTGAATTAGATGAGGTTGAGGATTTTCTGCTCCAATACGGTGCAATAGAGCGCTCTGTTATGATAAACTCAACTGAAAGTGAATACCATGAAATGCTAGTTGTTGAATTTAAAACTACTTCAGCTTTTGATTTATTGGGTCCAATACTGCCATATAAATTTAAACCTTCACAAAAAACGAATACTGCGTTAAAAATCTGTCAAAAGTTTACGCAGCTAGTTTAGGTTGCTCCAAAACAAAGACTTACCTGGCTGACTTAAAACAAGTGGCTAAGATGTCTGGTCAAGATTTTACTGAAGTCTTACAGGAGCTGATGACCCAGATAAATGAAGCTGTCACTGAACTGTGCCCTTCCTCATCTCAGAGCTGCACTAAGGAACAGTCTACTCCACCACAGCACAAAATGGCCACCGATTCTGTTCCACCACGACTCAAAATGGCTGCCACTCCTGTACCATCCGCCCATAACATGTCTACTGCTGAACTCAATCCACCAGAAGTCCAGAGGTATGTTGTGGAGCACATAGTTAAGAGTGATGATATTGCCATACGTTCATCCCACAGACTGAGGCTGTTTTCTGGAAAAGTACCCCGCCCACAGCATGAAGTGGACTATGATACCTGGCGCTCTGCTGTGGACCTCATCTTGAAAGACACTGCTATCTCAGAGCTCCAACGGTCCAGATTCATCCTCGACAGCCTTTTGCCACCTGCTGCAGACATTGTGAAACACCGCAGCCCAGATCTACCAGCAGAGATCTACATCCAACATCTTGATTCAGCTTATGGGACAGTACAAGACGGGGAAGAGCTCTATGTCAAATTTATGGACACTTTACAAGACTCAGGGGAAAAACCATCTGCATACCTACAGCGATTACAAGTAGCCCTGAGCCTAGCCGTAAAGCGGGGAGGAGTGAAGCAGAGTGACGTAAACAGACACCTGCTCAGTCAGTTTTGCAGAGGATGCTGGGATAATAGCCTCATCTCCGAGCTCCAGCTGAAGCAGAGAAAAGCAAACCCACCTTCTTTTGCTGAACTGTTATTGTTATTAAGAACTGAAGAAGATCGTGAAGCATGTAAAGCCCAGCGGATGAGACAACACCTCGGAACAACTAAACAGAAAGCTGCTGCTCAAGCTCAGTTTGTGGTAGAAGAAGATGGAGTTTCTGCTGCTCTATCCTCACAAAACAAATAGCTGACATACAGAAACAACTTGCCGCTCTAACAGCCTCCCAGTCTGCTCAGTCCTGTCCATCGTATCCTCCAAGAGGGCCTCCAGTCCCAAAGCTGCAAACGAGACAAAGAATAGCTCCAAAAGCCCGATCATCAAGTCCAAAGCCTGGTTTCTGTTTCCGTTGTGGAGAAGATGGACACATTAAGCCACAATGTGAGAACCGTCCCAACCCAGCACTCGTTAGCTCCAAACGTAAACAGTTCAATGATAAGAAGCAAAGGTGGTAACCACGAAACCAATATTCAAATGAACATTTAAACTAACTTCAGTTCCTGTCGTGGGACATACAGGAACTGTGCAGGACCCACACTGTCCCGCCAACAAACCGAAGAAACATGCTTGCTGTGCAGAACTACAACAGCCCAGTCCAGGACCAACAACAAGGCTGCCCAAAGGACTTATTGGATCACGATGCACAGCAGAAGTGAACATTGTTGGTCACACTCACCAGTGCCTGCTCGACACCGGATCTCAGGTGACCACAATACCGGTTTCATTTTACAATCGCTATCTTCATGAACAGCCCATCAATCCATTACACAATTTGCTCCAAGTAGAAGGTGCCGCTGGTCACAATGTCCCATACCTTGGCTATGTTGAAATAACCATACAGTTTCCTAAAGAATTCATTAGTGAAGAATACAATATAGCCACACTCGCTCTAGTTGTCCCAGATGCACGACCTGATGTCCCATCTACTGTACTCGTCGGCATGAACACTCTCAAACCGCTGTATGAGCAGTACATTTCTGAACATTCCACATTCCTACCCAGTGCTCATGGTTACAGAGCTGTCTTGAAGACACTACAGCTGTCACACCAGCAGAAGGATCAAGGCAACATCGGAGTTGTGAGGCTTCTCAGCAAGACCCCAGTGCGTGTTCCGGCCGGTCGCACTATTGTCATCGAGGGCTCAGCCAAAGTCTCCTCTCCACCATCCAGCCAGAGTGTCCTCCTTCAACATCCTGCCTCCGCCCTGCCCGGTGGCCTGTGTGTCAGCAGCTGTCTCATATCTCTTCCGGCTCTTCCACCATGCAAGGTCCCTGTGGTCATCACCAATGAATCACAGCAAGACACATTCATTCCACCATATAGTATCATTGCTGATTTAGAGGCATACCACTGCATCCTCTCCGAACAGCAAGTGACCCATCTTCCAGCTGAGAAACCATCATTCAGCCTTAATATCAACTTCAGTGATTCTCCACTGTCACCGGAGTGGAAGAAGAGGGTTACTGAGAAACTGGAAGCTGTCACAGAGGTATTTTCGCAGCACGATCTGGATTTTGGATGCACAACTGCTGTTAAACACCACATTCCACTAAGCAAAAGATGTTCATTTTGTCTTCTTATATACTTTAACTTCTTGGGTTCTTTTTAAAGACAATGCAGTAAAGTGTGTTTACCTTGTTGACATGTTTCAGCCCTTTCTGGATCCAAGTGGTTCTCAGTGCTAGATCTGAAATCCGGTTATTACCAAATTGAAATGTCGGAGGAAGATAAGCCCAAGACTGCCTTCGTTACTCCCCTTGGGTTTTGAGAGTTTAACCGGATGCCTCAAGGTGTCACGAACGCACCAAGCACATTCCAGCGCCTAATGGAGCGGTGCATGGGAGATCTCCATCTGAAGGAGGTGCTTGTGTTTTTGGATGACCTCATCATTTATTCAGACACTTTGGAGGAGCACGAACGCCGACAACTGAGAGTCCTGGACCGGCTACGACAATACGGGCTGAAGCTATCACTTGAGAAATGTACCAACATGTATACTTGTCAACTTTAATACCCCTAATACTTGGATTGTTTCTAATTGCTGTAGCGAGAGGTTCAAGCACGAGGCAGAACAGGCCAGGGGAGAGAGCTGAACCCCGGCGTGTGCCTCTGTTCAGCCTAAAAAAGGGAGATATAAAACCGTTAATCTGTACTGCAGTTGATGGATCTGAATACAATAGCTTTATCCATTTAAGGAATGTTTCACCAAAACCAAAAGCTCTTAGCGTATGGAACATGTACTTCCACTCAAGACGATTGAATGCTTTTTCAGCGTCTAAAGATATAACAGCAGTTGGATCATCTGAGTCTTTTACTTGCCCCATAATATCTAGGGTTAGGGTTAGTCTGCGGATATTATCTGATGCGTTTCTTTGCTTTACAAAGCCCACTTGATCTGGGTGAACTACAGAGCCTAGTATTTTATCAAGCCGTTTAGCAAGTATTTTTGAAATTATTTGGCAATCTGCTGAAATTAAGATAATGGGCCGATAGTTTTTACAGTCAGTTGGATCTTTGTCTTTTTTTAATAATAATGTAATGATACCTTGATTTAATGATGGGGTAGTGATCAAGTTGCATATGCCTCCATGAGCATCTTATGATACAGGGGTATTAGATCTTTTGCGTAGCATTTATAAAATTCAAACGTAAACCCATCTGGGCCTGGTGATTTTCCTGATGGTAGTGCCTTGATTGTCTCTAATATTTCTTCTGTAGTTATAGGAGAGTCTAGATTGTGCTTTTGTTCTGTACTGATCTTGGGGAGATTCAGGTTGCTAATAAAACTATCAATTTCCATATCTGTGGCAGAACTTTCTCATGTATACAGATTAATATAGTAATTTTTAAATACATTATTAATATCATGAGCTTTGTTTACCAACGTAACTTCAACATCCCTTATAGCTGCTATTAGTGACTTTGATGCTTTTTGTTGAATATATCTGGCCAGTAGTTTGCCTGCTTTGTCACCTGATTCAAAAACTCTTTGTTTAGATTTGAAAAGGAAATATTCAGTTTTCTTTGATAGTATAATGTTATATTCATATTTTAACTGAGTCAATTCATTCAGTGTTTTGTTACACATATTTCTTTTCTTTTTTTTTTTCCACATTATATATTCTCTTCTCTAGTTCTTTTAATTTGGCGAGGTTTGTTTTCTTTTTGTATGAGGCGTGTTGGATTATAATGCCTCGTAAGAAGGCTTTCATGGCCTCCCAAGCCACCATAGCCGAGGGTGCTGTGGATACATTAGTTTCTAAATAAAATTTTATATGTGTTCTGAGTTCCTCTTTAAAAGTTAAGTTTTTAAGTAATGATGAATTTAATCGCCAGTTACTGGTTCATATTATTTTGTGATGTGGCATCAGTGAGAGTCTTACCAAAGCATGGTCTGCAATTACAATACCATAATAAAACAATAAACAAATAAACAAATAATTATTGCATGCTGTCTAATCAGTTCTGTATGTGCTTCAGTCGTTATAGGTACTGTGCCTACAGATGTCTTGTGTCATGGCGCTGGGGATGGCTGTGTCGGAGAGTTCGCGTGGTTCTGCCGTATTGTGAACACGTCAAGAGTTCCCAGATGATGAGGGGCAGTTTGTGGGCTTCATAATGGCGCTGGATTAAAGCGGAATGTAAAAGCAGAGACGACAGTTGCCTGTCTGGACATTTGTGCTGAGTGGACAGTGGTGGTGAACTGCGGATCTGTAGCACCTCCTGGGTCTGGGTCTGGAAACTCCTATTCGAACATCAGCTCCCGGATGTCGTCAACATAATCCGCAATACTATCTGTTACTTTTTCTTGTTTGTACATTTTATTTATGGTACAGAGGTTTTTTATTACTACTTTATAATTATTTGTAACGTGTGATATTCATTGTTTTGCACAGCTGTCATTAAAATACTGTAGATATGGCAGAGTACTGTACAGTGTGTGACGGTAGCCTGTTTTAATGGGCCTTGTGATGTTTTCTTTTTTGTTAGACTTTGGAGTAAAACACCATGTACACGAGCGCTCCAGTTGATTTTGTAGCACAAAGCCAACAGTGGATGTACTAACACCAACATCAGTGCACTGCGGGGTTATCTGGGTGCCTATGTAAAAAAAAAAAGAAAAACAAACATTGATATTAGCTTTACCTTACAGTTCTTTTAGCCTGGGGTCTGCACTCTGGGGTCTATAATTCACATAAAAACACAAAGGCTAACATGAACCTCTTTATAATATCTGCATATAATATACATGTTTACATAACTACTCCTGAAATGAGACTGGAGGGTTTGGATATAGAACTGTGTCCCAGTTGTGCATGTTGTTATTTCTGTCTGGCAGCCTGTTGTATCAAACCATGGCTGGTGCAGTGAAGTCCCCTAAACAATGACATGTAAATTGTACAATATATAATCAATAAGCAACATTCACTTAGTAGCCATTAGGTATTCTGTTTTAAAGTAAGACATGTTTGTTATCCTCTACATTGAATATTATTCACTTCTTCATTGTGACATCAAAACGGTGGAATAAACCGAGCGCCGTCTCTCTATGCTATTATGACTGCACGCTAAACGCAACTCCGAGCTGAATAAAGTATTTGAACTAAACATTTGGCACAGCAGCTGGTGTCTTCTTACAACTCACATGTGGTCGCTTGGTTATTATTTGCAAAGACACTCTCTCTCTTGGCAATATTTACATGTTTGTGTAGCTACTCATTACCAGCTCCTCAATTGAAAATGCATCAGATGTTTTCCGCCTGCGATAACAGGGCAGGATCCTAAAAACCATGGTGTTCATTCTTGGTAGTGGTTGGAACATAACGTTACACATTAAAATTAGTTTGAGAAGATCCACAGTCACTTACATGGATTTGGGTGGTAAGTGTAACTAGCAGCGCTGTTTTAAACGCATTTCAGTGTATTATGCCTAAACTTCAAAAGTGACATTGTGGAAAAACTACAAGAGATATCAATACCATATTTGCTGTGCAAGTAGAACTTAAGGACCTGTATTATATGTATTATATGTATTATACATTTGGAAACTTGGTTCTATCAGCTTCTATGCCGGAGTAATAAGTGGTTTCAATGTTTTATGCCCGGAAAATGCTTATCAGCACCTGTGGAGCACACCAACACCAACTACTGAATTTTGCCTTAAGATTAAAATAATGTTGAAACTTCACTGTGTGGGGGCTTCTTATGTCAAAATGATGTGAATAAAGGCATAAGTTTGCAATAGTCCACAATGATGTGGCCAGGTTAGCCCTATAGGTTTTGATGCATTTCAGTGTATTGTGCCTAAACTTCAAAAGTGACATTGTGGAAAAACTACAAAAGATATCAGTGCCATTTTTGCTGTGCGAGTAGAACTTAGGGACCTGTATAGTATATTATATAATATGTATGTATACTGTTGTACTTGTTCTGATCCAGCTTAACATCATTCTAAAGACATTCAGGAAAGGTTCATTTCTGTCCTGTCAATGTGAATGTTTTGGTATCGATACCTGCTCAAATGAGTATCTAGTTTCAGTGCAAATTTATGTACCGTCTAGTATCCAATTTCCAATACTTTTGACAACCTTAATCCACTGGGCCTTATATTTACTTGTACTAATATTATGTTGAATATGGCTCTCTCTCCCCCCCTTGCCCCTGTATTCAGAGTGATCCCCCACAATGCCGAGCTCTCTGCTGACTGGGCACTTCCTGAGGCGTGCCTGATTTGCTGACCTGCTGCTGACGGCGTGTTTCTGAGTGCTGGACACTGTGTTTGGGCCAGTCAGGGAGAGGCTAAAGCAACGCGCCCGCACTGGACAATGGAGCAGGTTTAAAGGAGCTGCCATAAGGGAGATGGGAGCACAGAACACACAGGGCCCCCACACATACTCAGAATAGCACTTTCACGGGCCTGTATTGCGCTATTTTATAATCTGTGTCATAATCATTATAAGTGAGCATGGGCGCAACTCCATTCGACTCCAGTTGACTTAACAATGAAAAATTGTCACCTCTCTCTCTAGAACTGCTGCTGTGAGCCTCGCCATTTTGGTTTTAAAAAGTCCGTATTGACCTGCTCTACATGATCCTGGGGCAATTTTGTCTGTAAATAAATTCCTATTCCTAATATGGAACTTAGCTCCAAATTCATTCCTCTGACAACCTGCCTCAATGAGCTTCATTTGACTGCAGCTGAATGCTATGACTGATGTTACATTCACTAAGTCCACGTCTTTATACAGTCTGTGCTTATAATGTAATTTCCTCATCACAAACAGAGCTGGAGTTGGGTTTTGTTTCACTCACACATGTTTAACACACAAACCCTACAGATTTAGGCTGAGTTCGTCTCACAGTCTGAAAGCACTCTGTCGTAACTTTTGAAGTCGTACATACAGGAAGTGCTTTGGTGGATAGTACCTGTCATAAATATTTATCATAGCTTTACATCAGTTAAGTGACAGTTTGGGGGAATACTTTTCAAAAATACAGGAAATAGCTCTGAGTTCTTAAACAGAATCTCTCTATTTCATCTACATGGAAAATTCCATTCAAAATGCAGACACAATTTATGCATTTTCATAAAGGTGTTTATTACTCTGATCATAACTATTGTGCATATACAGTATATATGTATATAGTATATATAATAGGATATAGGTTCACCTCTCCACAGATCTGCCCTATAACTTGTCATTGGTGCAGTTACCTCCTTGTCTCTATGGAGACCCATAGGTCTAATGCCATTCTGTAGAACATTCCAGATAAAGAATGAATCTCCATGGGGACAAGCAGGAAAGTTGCAGAGTGCGCCTTTAAATTGTCCATGGAAATAAAACATTTAACCCACATGTCAGTCACTCTCCATGGAGATAAATGTTTTATGCTGTACTATGGAATATTATAGCCAAAGGAACAACATTTCTCCATAGTAAATAACAGGCAAATCCACTTACAGTCAATACACATGTTTCAGAATGTTTTTAGGGCAATAAAAACATTGATAATGAAAACTTTTAACTATTTTTAAAAAGTGACATACTGTGGCTTTAATAAACAATAAAATAAAGCCTTGATGAGGTTTTACTGGAGTAACCCTGGAGCAGACACAGGAGGATTTAGTCTTAGACAAGTCTAAACTGGAGTGTGTTATTGGAGTAACATTAGGCAACTCAGTCCTTCATAGAAACATACTGTACTCCAGTACACACCGGTACACTGTAGAAAAGGGACTCATATGTGTTACTTATGAATGAGATTAGATTTATAACAGACCTATATTTATGAACATGTTACTTTTTAATCCCACAGTGTGCAAAAGCAAAATCCATGTTGAATCATGGTGCTTTACTCATTGATTCTGCAGAAACGTGCCACGTTTTAGTCCCCTGTCATATTTTTCCCTTTCTTTTTTCCTTGTAAGCAGTCATCTTTGTTTTATATGGACAGGCTATTCATGCCCTTGATTGGTTAATCCACCTGTCAGTCACACCCATCTGAACTCTGGGACATTCACCACATTGAGCAGACTCACATCTTCGTAAAGTATTGGAGAAGTGTGTGTTCTGGATCCCAGATGAATGAGGAGCTTTAGTCTGAGCAACTATCAAACCACTGGCTGGTTGGAAGTTGAACTATGCCTCTTCTGCCCGTTTGTAATACATGCACATTAATTAAAGGTGCACTGTGTAACTTTTTGGGTAGGGGATCGTCACTTTCTTGTCTCCATGGAGATGTTATTACTTTACCTGGAATGTTCCACACACATGATGGCATTACACTCTATTTTGTATATCTTCAATCGCATGTGTTTTTGTTTTGTTAGACAGCAGCTTCACAAACCTGATGTCACCTGACTTACATGTGTTCAGTTACAGGTGGCTTTATAGCTCAAAAATACTTAGAAAAACAGACATTCTGACTGTAAGATGGGTTGTCTCTCCACAGATCTGACCTGTAACTTGGTCTGGTTTGGTCTCCATAAAGATAGAAAGGTTTAATCCCATACTGTGAGACATTTCAGACAAAGTAATAACATCCCCATGGAGAAAAGCGTTTGAAGGAGCCTCCAGCATAGGACACAGTGTACCTTTAGGTAAAACTCTGGCTTGCAGTAGTGTGATAGTACAGACACACACTAGCATAGACAGCCCTTTAAGTTGAATGATATGTTTAAAGTTGTAGTTTGCTTTAGCTCAGCCCCAAAGCTGCTGGATTCTCTGTGTGTTAGTCACTCACTCAGACACACCCACCACATGAGAGAGAGCTGTGTGTGCGCTCATAGGCATAGAGGTGTAACTTCACATTTGTTTTATTGCATTGTGTAACTTTTTTGGTGGAATTTCCGCCAAATGCTTTTCTCCATGGAGATGATGGCATTAAATCTTTTTATCTTCATGGAGACCAAATCAGACCAAGTTGCAGGTCAGATTTATGGAAAGGCGACCCCGCTCACAGTCAGAATGTCAATTTTTCTAGGTATTTCTGAACTTCGAAATTGAATGAATGTAAAGCTTTTTAAAGTCATCCTGTGGAACATTCCAGGCAGATCAATGACATCTCCATAGAAACAAGCAGGTGATGAACCCCAACCAAAAAGTTACATAGTGCTTTTTTAAAGGGGCACTGCATAAGTTTTCAGGTGGGGATGTGAGAGACAGACGTGTGACAAGGAGAGGGAGAAAGGGAGAAGAGAGAGAGGGAGAGAGGGAAATGATGACAGAGAGGAGGGGAATGAGAGGGAGGGTGGGAGAGACAGGGCGAAAGGGGTCAAAGGAGACAGTGGAGAGGGGGAACAGAAATACAGAGAAGGAGAGAGAAAGTGGAGATAGAGAGTGAGAGAAGAGAAGAGTGACAGAAAGATAGAACAAAGGTAGAGATCCTGCAGTGAGACGGGTGCAGCTGAGCCTCTGATAAACTGAACGCAGATCAGCACTTTCTCACTCACATCTGCTCCACTTCCCATTCATAAATAAACACACCAGCAATGGCCAATCAGATGACAGCACGAGCCTCCACCTATCACAACACAAGAGGGACCCAAAACAGGAAAATTACCTCCCAGAAAAGGACCTGCATGAAGTTGTCATGCAGTAGTAGTCAAACGCAAACCTACACAAAAATTATTTAGTTTGTGCTTCGTTTGTGCTCCGTTTGTGCCATAAAAAGTTTCGTTTGTGCTGCTTTAGTTTTTGAGACATTAATGATTCTTTTTGATTCTCAATCTGAGATTGTTTATCTTCACTAGTTTTATGGTGTTTTCCACCGTCAACTGAGCAGAAATGATGTCATATAATTTCTGCAAAAATAATAATGAATAATTTTAGAAATATACTTGCACAAATTAAAATTGTCACAACGCAAAACAGCACGAATGAAGTACAAACGTTTTGTATAATTTTCTGTCTGTTTTGAGCGCTATATAACTGTTAATATTTTAAGAACCATAATCGCACAAACAAAACTTTTCGCAGCACAAAATAACACAACTCTGACACCATTTTGTGCCATTTTAGAGCAATCAGAAGTTTCCTGGGGGGCTGGCTGACCCCAATTTGACCTATAAAAGAACCCT